GGGGGGGGGGGGGGGTGGCGGGGGCAGGGAGAAGGACGTTGGGTGTGGTGAGATGCCTTGAGCACATTCCTTGGAGCGGGCGCACCCTGCGTTACAGCAACTGTGTACCTGCTAGTGTTTGTTATCAGAGCGTGTTCATGTAAGCAGATACTTGAGTTACTTTCTCTGTTGGCACTCATGCCTCTTTTTATTGAATATCAATTCACATGCACAGTATTTCTTTTTATTTATTGCACACTCTCATCGTCTGCTCGTAACACTCCCACAGTCGAATGCAAACAACTCTCATTTCATATCTCTGCCGTGCTGAGAGTTGCACATTTGCATGAATTGGAAACCAGTAAACAGAAACATGGCTCCTACAGTACGAGTGTATAACAGCTTACTAGAAGATTGGTGCTCAGGCAGACATTCAAACAGGAGGCACACCCTTAGGAGCAGGACTGAACACACAATCATAAGTCTGTGTGTGTGGTGCTATCAGAGGGCCATGAAACAAGGTGTGTCCTGTCTGATAGACACGTTTCAGGACAAAGGACGTCCCACATAAAGTGCACACACACACACACAGCGACGTGTGCTTTTACCTGTTTTACTGTATTACAGCAAGATTTAATGTCACTGTGCGAGTGAGTGACACACAGAGAGACTGAGAGTAAAAAAGGGAAGTAGTGGAAATAAAATACAAGACATACAAAAAACAGATATCACTCAATTATTAAATGTTTGAATTTACTCAGTCAAGCAGAATGTGAATTAACATAGTAAATAATCTTTAATGTTTTGCCCAACAAGTGTGAGAACAATCTGCCAAATCCTGCACATCACCTATAAATTATATGTATGCATACAAGGGGACATTCAAGACCAACAGTGTCACTGGATCTGCGTGTGGTCACTGGACCTGCGCTCGGTCTCTATGGCCTCTAGAAAGACAAGCTTCCTGAGTCCTGCCCATATTACAGAGGGAGGAACGGAGCAGTGTAGCCTGCTGCAATGAGGTTTTACAGAGGATTCATATATAAAAGGAAACTATTGAAATCTGCTGATTCAGCACAAGTGGTCTGCCTTGAAGAAAAACAGCAGATGACTCATTTACACAGTGTTTTAGTGAGGAACACAGTCTCCAAAGAAACCAAGGTGAGTCTATGTAACTTTTACTAAACATGGGGAAAAAAGACGTAGGAGGTACAAATGGAAAAATAGTGAATGTTAAAATGTAGAATGTAAGAAGAGAAGAGTCATAAAGTCAGCAAAATGAAAGTATCAGTTACAAATAAAGTTAGCTTACATTAACCACAATAACACGCTTGTCATAACCCATAGACTGTATAAATACTGGACCAGGTCTGAAAAGTGAAGCCAATGAGGAATGAATTTCTA